TGTAATGGCATTGCCAAAAACATCTGCTGCTGGAAATACACCATCTAGAGATGCAATGAAGAATGGCTAAAATAATCTCAGTTAGTTAGATGTCCAGTACTAGCCCTTCCTATTTCCCTTATTAAACTTAAAGTATTAATGAACTAATGAAAAAGGAGAGACACAGCCTAAGGAGCTGCTCCTGCCAAACTCAAGGAATCTGGAAGCACAGTTTTCAGGCAACTGGATGAGGGCATGAAGACCTGTAATAAAGCCTCCATCTCTCTAAATTCCAGTAAAAAGCAGCCCCTCCCACCTCCAGATTCAGATCATGAATACAGCTCTGGGAATCTTTCTTCTAATGATGCTATGGAAGTTGCTGTTTGTTCTTTGGGGAGTCATTATGGGGTGAGAGTTCAATCCTTCCTTTCATCAATAGTCCCTTGGCCACTTTTTAATAAAACTGAAAGAGATGGATCTCTATTGTTTGGACAACTTTAGCAATAATCTATCTTTTTCTTTTTTTTCTGTTTTTCTTTCTCTCTCTCTCTCTCTCTCTCTCTGAAACAAAATCATCTCCAAAGAATTCTTAAGAATAAAGTGCATTTATAAAAGGGTGGGAGAGGAAACGACTTATGGTGAATTTTTATTTGTTGTGCCCCATGGAGGCATTTATTCCACATTAGGGTAGCACCTCCCTCTGGAGCTAACGGACAGGGTCCATTTTTCTATCTTCCCCAGCCTTACTCCTCAAAAATGTACTGCAAAAATAAAAAGAAATGGATACTTTCCCGTGATCCACAATCGCCATCCAACTAGAGCAGCGTGCACGGAAACTAGTTTGGTAAAACATCTAGATGAGACCCAGGAGAAATGGGAGACTTTCAAAAATTCCTTCCTATCACCCTCCACAGGAAAGTGAGATAGGAACCTCAGGGACGTTCTCGACAATGAGGTGGCCTAAGGGGACCCTGCTGCAATCAGAGAGCTGACTGAGTTGTGACCAAGGACCATTTGGGAGGTGGAGGGAAGGCCTGGGCTCTGCTGTACAATTACCTTTTGAATGGAAGAATCCTCTGACTGGAGCAACACGCATCCCAAAAAGTGGACAAGCTTGGCATAGCCAAAATTACAGGTAGTCCTCGTGTAACAACCACAACTGGGACTGGAATTTAGGTCGCTAAGCAATGTGATTGTTAAGTGAGACACTGTCCTTGCTGTCGTTAAGTGAATTTTACTGGTCGTTGGCTGAGGCCCCACCCCAATCCAAGCCATTCCAGGCTTGGGCCCTCCCAGCCCCGAGCCTCAGTAAGGTAAGGCACTGCCTCCAGCTCCCCCCACCTGACTATCTTCCCCCCACCACAACCTCTACCCTTTTGGCTGCCCTGAACCTGCCTTGCGGGGCTCTGGGGCTGCTTGCCATGCCCCAGAAAGCCGCAACTGCCCCAGCCCAGTCCCACCCCGCTATCTTCTGTTTTTGCTTTCTTTTTTTGCAGCCAAAGTCAGCTCTAGCCCAGCCCAGCAGCCAGGCTGGGCAGGTCTTATCAGCAGCGGGAGCAAGAAGACGAAAGGTCAGCTGGGGCAGCGGAGTGCAGGGTGGTAGGGGGCCAAAAAGGCATGGGGGGGAGGCAGACAGGTGGGGGGAGTTGCAGTGTCCCTGCAGTCATTATGTGCAGGCTGGTGGCCAAGTACCCGAATTTTGATCACATGACTGCAGGGGTGCTACAACAGCCATAACTTTGGGCACTGGTTGTAAGCACTTTTTTCAGCGTGTTTGTAACTTTGAATAGTCATTGAATAAATGGTCAGGAAGTGAGGACTACCTGTACAGAAACCAAGAAAAACAATTTTTAAATAACAATTTGTAAATGTGTAGCCATTAAGTTTGAAAGGAGCCCATAAGCTCAGGAAGAGTCCAACAGGAATCTATATATTCCTAGTGGACTGTGCAATTTTATCTCTTTGATAAAACATCCTGAATGTATCAGTATAGGGCCTATATCTAGAAGTCACTGGATATTCACAGAAGAGTAGCTAAATTGTTGGAATTGCTATTGCTATTAGACATTCAATTTAAAACTAATTATGGTAACCTCCAATCCTTTGTATGTCTTTTAAAACAGGGGTCCCCAGCCCCTGGGCTGCGGACCGGTATCGGTCCGTGGCCTGTTAGGAACCAGGCCACACAGGAGGAGGTGAGCGGCGGGTGAAACAGCCGCTCCCCATCGCTCGCATTACTGTCTGAGCTCCACCTCCTGCCAGATCAGCAGCGGCATTAGATTCTCATAGGAGCGCAAACCCTACAGTGAACTGCGCGTGCAAGGGATCTAGGTTGCGTGTTCAGAATCCAACACTTATTTTACTCCACGCGTGGCCTGCCCATTATTTTATTTAACACTTCCGTCTGTGCCTCTTTCCCACACTGCACGCTTGTCTTAGTCACAGTTTTGGTAAGCCCACAAGTTTTTTTTTTAAATCCATTCAGTCCCTGCAGTTTTCCTGACAAGGTTTTTTCAGAAGTGGTTTGCCATGGCCTCCTTCCTAGGGCTCAGCCCAGCTAGCGGTCGCAGGGGAGTCGGGTCTTCCGTTGCGTTGCGTTTTTCTGACGTTCACGTCTAGACGGGACCAGCAACCGATTCCTATCCCTGCACAAAGCACCGCCAGCGTTTCCTCCCACCGAAATAATAATAATAGAAATAATAAAATAGACATAATAATAATAGACATAATAATAGAGATGATGATG